CGCTACGCGCTCGAATTGGACAGTGGGCAGGGCAAAGACGACGATTTTCGATAATTTTTTTCTTGTTAACTATTGCGAAAATTGCAAAATGTTTCAGGACTTTTCTGTTCATCTCGATCCGTTCTACCTTCTCACGAGCTCGTGGACAAATGTTATAACTCACCCTGTATACACACCGTATACACCAATGCATATACGATAATTTGTATATCAGTTATTAGGTAATGTCTCGCGCCAAGTATAAGCGCAGCTATAACCGCGTGCGTGAGACCGACCGTATAGTTTACGCAAGTACGCAGGTTGACAAACCCTCAGATTTTTGGATCTCAACAACGGCTGAACCGATGAACTTCTAAATAGGCTAAATTAGTAGCTTGGGTTCGATTTACATAATGTTTGTATTTTTTCCCTACGTGTCCCTATGAGTAAAGATATTGTGATGCAAACATAGAATTTCCGATTTTCTATTTAAGAAACGTCGTCATCGTCGTCGTGGTCGTCTTAGTCGACCATGCAGTGGTGGGGGGGATGTTCTTCTAACATTTTTGACGCAACGTGGCGCTCGCAAGCGTCACTAGCGCGGTGAAAGACTACGTGACACGTGACTGACATTTCCGACTTCGCCGAATGCGCGTAAACTAAACTTTCGATAAACTGAACCTAACCCATTAAAAAAAGTTCGATTGCCTCAGTATTTTAATATTAAGATTTTTGTCTTAAAATGATTTCAAGAATTTACCCTGTTTCGATTTTTACGAAACACCCTGTATGTATAAACAAGTTTCAAGGAATATTCCTTGATTGTATTTATTCCTGTTCGAAAGATTACTATATCCCAGTAGAGTCTTTCCTTCGCGGAAAATAATACGAACATGAGCCACTATCGCACTTCGCGTAAAGATGATGAAACAGATCGCGTCTTTTGATACTTGTTTTCGTACAATTATAATTAATGTTTCTTGTTTACAATTATTATTTGTTGTTTAATATTTTTAAATTTACTTTTGTCTAGCCAAGTGCTACAACATTTCTAACAATAAGTTACCTAGCTACATTATTTTAAAGCTTTCTGTTCAATAAACATTAATTAGAAATAAAGTTTTGACATATTCATTATTATGCTAATTCGCTGTAGTTGCTGTAACAAATTTTTTTAATCACAACATGCCCATGTTCGCCGAACACTCGACATTTCCTCGTATCAGCAAGTTCATATAAATGTTCCATGCGATAACCTTTATAATACGTAAACTGCAGAATTTTTATCTATGACATATAAACACAGTATATCCAGATATACATAGACAGTAGCACATTGATAAATTGGAGCCAGTTAGAGTGAGTTGAAGCAGTTGATTGAAATTTCGAAAGATTTTGTAAAAAAATCCAACATCATGAAGCGGTTGATATTTGTTTTATATTTGTGTTTCGCCATTGTAAGTACTTTTATATTATAATAAATTAAATAATATGGTTCATTAACGTCAGAATTATTATTATCAATGCTAAAAGAGGTATAAGATTATCAAATATTATAATACAATATATAAAAATGGTAAAGAGATAATTTTTTATTTACAAAAACTTTTCTCTCAAAAAAATGTTTCATTTTTATCAATGTCATGTAGAAACTAGGTGATTTCCTTCGAAGGCTTCGACATTCGAACTTCGAAGCTTCGAAGTTGACTTCGAACTTTTGAAATCTTCGAAGCTTCGAAAGTTATCAAAAGTAACAGCTCTAATAGAAACATCATTATCAATAAATAGTAGTTTCTTCTTTCCCATTTATCTTCTCAACATAATGTAAGATAATTTTATTTTGTTTCAATTAAAACTTTTAAAATCTTTTTTTTCAAATTCCATTTCTAATTTAAATTTTATTATAGAGGAAAGTTCCCAATTATGAGATAGGCTCCTAATACAAGACAGCGGGGTTTCTATTAAATTAATAGGCATCTGTTGATTCTACTGTGAATTTATTGCCCTTGGAGTGAAATTTGTTTAGCAGGAAATTCATTGTTAAATTGTATAATCGTTGCGAAAGAAGATTTGTGATTGAATTTGAGAGTTAAAAACCTATTATCTCATATTAGAAACCTATCTCATAATAGAGTACTTTCCTCTATTTTTAATTTTATTTTCATTAAAGCTAGATTAAAATGCTGTTGTACTGTAAATATATTATTATATTAGTAAACTACCATTTAATATTAATATATTGTGTATTATTACTATTCATTTTATCATTACAATTTTGTTATTATTAATTATTATTTTGTGTTTATTATAGACAGCAGGCAATATTGAGTATTTCATAGACACAGTGACAAATTCATTACACATCTGGAGAACTGACGCACAGATTTGTTTCAATAAAACAAATGTAAATACCGGTAAATAAAGTGGTAAATTATATATCGCCAGTAATTTAAAAAACAAATTTTCATAGAATTAAGCGACCTACACTGGCTAATGGTTTTTATTTAAAAAACGAGTATTACAACGTTTCGGCCCCGGGTTTGGGCCCTTTTCAAGTGTTCTGAAACGCAAATTACAAATTCGTATAACAAAGCTGAAGGCATATCCTAATGCAACTCTAAATTACATACTGAACAATGACGCAGTGATTCACTAAGGTATGTAATTTAGAGTTGCATTAGGATATGCCTTCAGCTTTGTTATACGAATTTGTAATTTGCGTTTCAGAACACTTGAAAAGGGCCCAAACCCGGGGCCGAAACGTTGTAATACTCGTTTTTTAAATAAAAACCATTAGCCAGTGTAGGTCGCTTAATTCTATGAAAATTTGTTAAATACCGGTAAGTCTGTTAAGCAAACATTGTATTAAAATTAAATCTTTCTAAGTCATACACAATATGTGATAATTAGTGGCTTCCACTTAACATTATACAGGGTGAGTCACAACATTTGTGCCAGAGCTCGTGAGAAGGTAGAACGGATCGAGAGGAACAGAAAAGTCCTGAACCATTTGCAATTTTCGCAATAGTTAACGAGTAATTAATTATCAAAAATCGTCGTCTTTGCCCTGCCCACTGTCCAATTCGAGCGCGTGGCGAGATGTGACCGCACGGCGATCGATATTGCCAGGCGAGGGGTGGGGACGCGAGACGCGGGAGCGGCGACGTAAGCTCGCCGGCAACGGCGCGCTGTCCTCCCCCTCGCCTGGCAATATCGATCGCCGGGC